GTTGAAGGCAATATGACTGCTGCGGGTTATGTTGATGATGTCCTACAAACCACTTTACTGCCGTATCTAGACGTCCTTTTTTAGCAAGACATCGCACCTCCCCATATTGCTCGCCATCCTACGGACTTTCTTCAAGAAGCAGGCGATAATGTTTTGCCGTGGCCACCCCGTTCAATGGACTTAAATCCCATCGAACATGTGTGGGATATGATGGGGAGGGGACTATCCACTTTGCACCATCCGCCACAGACTCTGCTACAGCTAATCCACAAAGTTCGAGTTGCTTGGAATGAGGTGCCACAACCATCTCATTTTTTCGATGTCTAGACGTATACAGGAGTGTATTCAGCTGCGGGGTCGCCCAACACATTATTATTTTTTTCTTATTACTTGACAATAAAATTTCGTGAGAACGTTATCGGTTCATTCTTGATCTAAGACTACCTCAAATCAAGTTGAAGAAATTATTGTTTTTGCGTGTAACACTTCTAATGTCACTAAGTATATTATACCGTTTTGGCTGTCAGCTTGCAACAGTTCAGCCTTGCCTGTCTGCTATCTGTGCAGAACCTAATATTTTTCCTCGTAATACCTATGTCTTGTCTAATTACGCATACCTACCTATTTGCGATTTATTAAATTAATTCCAAGCTCTCTAGTATTTAAATAAAAACAATTGATTAACAATTCTTCATATTGCCTCTTTATTATGCGTGCAGTACCGAGACGTAAGTGCACTAACCAAGAAGACTGGATATCATCATGAATATCTCGTCATAATTAGAAAGTAGTTGGCATTATGTTTATTATTCTGCACGGATGATACTTTTCAAGTAGTTCACTGGGCAGAAAATTATTCAGGCCTCCAATAAAAAAGTGAGCAAAACGGCACGAGCCGCATTTAATGCGATGATGACTTTAGATTATTTCCACTATGTATGAAACGATATGTAAGTTGAATACACTCTCGCCAACGACATAGGAGTCAAAATGCATGACTGTAGAGTTAGGTGAACCTACAGAGCTTATTTTATGAAAAGAAAAACACCATCTACTGAAAAATATAGACCTCTTGATTCATACATAAAAGCAAAAAGTCCGTTCATGTCGATGGGCCAGGGGGAAGTAAGGCGGTTAACAAATCGTGAAAATGGCCGAATCTTGGAGATATATGGTTCTCAAAGTCAGTCGTTCGAAGCGCGATCCATAGGATCGGTATTCGAGGACCGATTCGACAGTACGAACATTTTATTTCCAGTGGTGGACTTAATAAAAAGAGGGCGCAGGGACAAAACGTAAAATACCTATAGAATGCAAAAAACAAAACCACAAAATGTCAACTTGCTGCATGGATAGTGACGGAAAATTCAAAATTGGTTGAGTAGCAAGATCGCATCAAGATGATTGTATCGTGACTGTGTGTATGTCTGCACGTGTATAAAATCAGTGATATTTGCTGTGAGAAAAGTACTATTGAATAGAAGAAAAGCGTGAAGTATATGAAGTGTGTTGACATCTTGTAGAGAAACCTACATAGTGTCACAAAAAACCTATATAATGTCAAAAAACCAAAATAATATCACTTTTCAAGATTCGTAATACCCCTGCCGGTCAGCAATGTTTCAAGAGCGCCCACTTGTCATACAAATCAAGTCATAAATTGTTACGTTAATATATTTTATTTGATACAGCAAAACAGAATCATGTAGCTTTGAATCCCCGTCTCGCTTTTCATTCAAGGAAAGAAAAGCTACTTTTCAATACAGCATTGCTGTTAGTAATAGATATTTCTTATCTCTAGTTTGAATCGGATTCTCAGCATCTCGGTAAAAAAAGAATCTTGCTGCTACAGCAGAGGTTTGATTTGATTTATAGTATCTATATGAACAGGTTCAGAAGTATCAAAGTATCAGGAGGCATAAAGAGTAAAAAATGTAGCACATCATGTTGCAAAAAAGTATGCATTGAATAGAAAATATGAAGTTTTGATTAATTTGTGGAATGATGAAAAATAATATATATATATATATATATATATATATATATAGCTTGGTTATAACTAGAAAGGAACATGGCATGCTGTCAATAAATACAAAAATAATAAAATTACATGTATGAAGTGAATATTCATCAAAAAAGTCGAAAAGCATTAAAACATCTAGCTTGGGGTTAGGTAATAATAACCACTCCACTGGGATCTCGGAAACTGCAAGAAATACGTAATCGCTTAAATGGGGGCAAAGCTGCGTATTTAGATAATCAACAAAATGCCGCTTAGGATGTTTCGAAATTCAAGGTACTTTCGGAGAGAGGCGGAAAAAGCAGAATTTTCCTAAAATCGTTTTAATTTTTTCTGTCTTTATTTGTAGTAGGATTTCAAATGACGTTTCATCTCTTGTCCTCCAGTATCAACTTTATTTTTTTTTTCTTATAGGCGCCCTATTGCATTTTCGCACAGATGAATTGATTCTTCAATTCTATTTCCAAAAATGTATAATATGTCATAGACTGGCGTTGCCAAACCCTAGTTATTGCAGAAGAGTAGACGTTTCTAGACAGGTCTTGAGATTATCTTATTTCTATTTCTTATACCAGACGAGGTCTCAAATTAAACATAGCAACAGAGTTTGGATGACTGAGAAGACGAAAAATAAATTGAGCAGTGAGCAATGCAGGCTTTACCTACAAACTAACGAACAAGATTTTGATCATCTGGTATGAGTTACCGCTGCTTATTTATGATTATTATTGTTATTACCATCAATAAAATGTTCATTATGGGTCCAGGTTTCACCATACCTTATTATTTCCAATTTTCACCCAACAACAAACTTATGACCTAGTAAGGAAATAAGTCACTGAACTTAGGACTAAAAAGTCCATTTAAATGTACCAATATAGCGTGCATATGAAAAAACAAAGTTGGTGATGGAAGTCTAAAGAAGAAATGTCGAACTGAAAATTTTACTATGTCGTCTTGTAATATAACTAACAAAGACATGCAATTTATTTTGAAATCTCATCTCAAATAAAGTCAGGAAAAAATTAAAGTGATTTTGGAATGAATCTGATAGGCCAAACAAATGATCATTTCAAGGCTTAGCTAGGAAGTTCTGTTTTTTTTCAGTAACAGGTTTGGCAACATCAATGTATGACGTATTATACATTTTTGGAATGAGAATTAAAAAATCTGTTCGTCTGTGCAAAAATCCAGTATGGTGTCTGTAAGAAAACAACAACAAAAATTCATGCAGGAGGACAAGAGACGAAACTTCATATTGAAATTCTAATTATGCTATCTTGTAGATGAGGAAAAGTAGCAATATTAATATCCAATTTATTTGAAAATCCCACTACAAATAATGTCAGAAAAAAGATAAAAATTCTGTTTTTCCGTTTCTCTCCGGAAGTACTTTGAATTTCGAAACTTTATAAGTGGCATTTTGTTGATTACCTAAATACCCAAATTTGCCCGTATTTAAGCGACTTCGTATTCTTAAAGTTTCCCAATGGTGATGGTCGGATTTGAAATACCCTGTATACGTAGCTGTGCCTCACTATTATTGATTTAAAATAAACAAAATTCAAATGACAAGCTGCTCCGTCAACACGAAAACTCACATGACACATTCCAATTATAAATGAAGCGTTTATGCATCTTATACTACATATGCAACGTTGTCAATTGTTAAAGCTTCAGAGTTACCGGACCATAATATTGAATTTTTCCCATGAATATACAGGGTGCGGCAGAGAGGATGGACGATTTTAAAAAAATCATAAAATAGTTAATTTTTACTCGAAAACAAATTTATTGATGGAATCAGGTTCACAAATAGCATTTGAGACAGTCAAGTGTGGGAAATCACATCAGGCATGTGGTGGCCGATATCGTTGATGCTGGAGGCGTTCTTGGAAGTTCGCGTAGACTCTCTCCAACATCGCTCTCTCAACTTGGGCGACTTTCACGCGAATTTCGCCCTTCAATTCGTCCAGAGTTCGGGGCTTGTTCGCGTATACTCTAGCCTTGAGGTGTCCCCATAAAAAAAATCGCATATGGATAAATTTGGTGAGGTTCTCATTTTGATCGATCAGTGGTTCCACCTCACGTGCGAAGTTCATTCGTTGTGCATAATCTCCGGGCTGTAACTGTTGCACAATGGCCAATTTTTAGGGGTGAAAGCGGAGATCCATATGCAAAATTCGCCTTACCGAACGATCAATAAGGCGAAGTGCAGCAGCATGTTTCCGGGTAGATCGAGTCAGATTGCGAAGAAAGACCTGTCGAACGCGTTCAACATTTTCAGGAGTTCGTACTGTTCGCGGTGCTCCTCTTGGTCTTCTGTTGATCAGTTCACCACGCCTGCGAAGTGATTCAACCCAACGAAGGATGGTGTTTCGAGAGGGAACAGCTCTATTCCGATGAATGTTGAAGTGGCGACGTAACTCACGCTGTTCGCCGATGACTGACTCATTATTTCGGACGAAACAATCATAGGCGAAAACGCGGTGCTCCACCGTCCAAGGCTCCATAACGACAACTGGTAAAATAATGCTAGGATCTCACGAGTCAAACGGCACCCTCCCCACCTCTCTCGTAGACAGAGGCGGAGAGTACTACCCATCCCAAAAACGTCCGTCCTCTCTGCCGCACCCTGTACATATGAATACATTTTCCCGTAGTTAACTTATTAATAGGTACTGAATACCGACTATAGATAGAAAGCATTTTCGGAGATTTACTAGCCTCCATTGAGGGACATGCCACATGGCAAATTTCCGAAGAGATGACTACAAAAATCCGACAATAGACAGGTTTATATTTTTTAGTAAGCGGTGGAAAAAACATGCGCAAGATACCTCTATTTTTTTTAATTTTCGATTTCGCAGGATCTTTTACTACGTCCAAAAATTGTGAAGAACTACAACATAATAATTATAAAAAAGAGTTTGGTGGTGGTTTGGTACTGTCTTGTGGTAACTAAATTTTTCTTTTTCAGTGAAGGGATTTTCACTGGACCAGAAAACAACGTGCCACTCGATTACGCTAAGGTAGGTTTCTAACCTTAAAATTTACTTAAAGCATTGATTTAGGTATCCAGCTGTATTCCAGCGATCTGGAAGATACTATCGACATCTATGAGACAGTAGCAGAATACAAAAATGAATATAAAAATCTACTTTGAAAAGAGTTAGAGTGTTTGATTTTTCAACTCTCTCTTAGATGATACTAGGATCTGCAATCCCTATCTTCAGGCATTGATTAACGTATTCTACCTAAAGATAGTTAATTAAAATAGGCACTAGAGATACGCCAAAAAGGAATTGAAGTTTTTAGTGCCATTTATAAGGAAGTAGCAGAACCAAACACTGCAGCAGGGTTTCCCAACCTTTTTTTTGGGTGAGGCTCCCCGGACTATAAATTATATTTTCATGCCCCCCTTACTTTTTCAATAAATACAAAAAAAACGCACATCATATAGGTACAAATACTTTTATTCTCACATAAGTGATTTGAAGAAAAAGGAACTAGTATTCGTAAAGCAAGAGAGGCAAGTGTCGAATTAACAGGCAACCTTTTGATCCAAAATTTCTCTAATATTAAAAGATAGACGTCATCTTTCATGGACGAATCAGCCTTCTTTTCTAGAAATTCTTCCTGAACTTCTCCTGGTAATTGTGACACATCGACAACAAATTAATGGATTTCTTGTCATGTGCCATATTTTTTGGTGACTCTGGATTGATGTCTCGATAGTATCGGCGAAATTCGTCTTCCAGCGCTTGCATATGAGTTTTTATGTCAGCTTTTAAATTTGTGTCCAGTATGTTATTTTTAATTCCTTCAAACAGCCGAGAAGAAGAGATAACATTTTCAGAAAACACTTTTTGATTCCAAAGTTGAAGCTTTGATATGAACCCCTGAATATAATCATAATTGCTTATTATATATAGTGTTGTTTCTGCCCTGATGTTTCAAGTTTAGCTCATTCAAGGAGTCAAATATGTCAGTTAAATAAGCCAACCTCCACTGAAATGTGTCATCTTTGAACATTGTCAAGAAATCGTGTTTTTCTCTGAACTCAAGAAAAAGAATTACATCTTCTTTCAATTCATAAAGGCGAGCCAACATGTTGCCTTTGGATAGCCAGCGTATTTCTGTATGGAACACAAGAACTTTGTGATCAGAATCGAGATCCACGCAAAAATAAAATAACCGACTGTTCAAAGCGCTGCTCTTGATGTAGTTTACAATCCTTATAGCCGAGTCCAAAGTCTGGCGCTATTTCTGTGGCAATGTTCTGGAAGCCAAAGCTTGCCGATGAATAACACAGTGTGTACTAACCATTAGTGGATTTTTTTTGAGCTTTTTAGCTAAGCCCGATCGTACACCTATCATTGCAGGTGCGCCATCTGTGCAAAGTCCAATGTCCAATGAGTTTCTTCCAATCCAAATCATTTTTTTCAACAAAATTTGATATTGAATTTAATACTCGTATCTTCAGATGAATTACCTGCTGTCAAAGATTGGGAGTGCAAAATATCTTCTTGGATAAAGTCATAATTAACGATGTCGGTGGATTCATCGCAACTAATAACAAAAAATGGCGATAATTCCACTTTGTTAATTATTTGTGACTTTATGTCTGCTGCAATATCTTCGATTCTACGCTTGACTGTGTTATTTGAAAGAGAAATAGACTTTATTTTTTGCTCTGCATCTTCTAAAATTATCTGCGTGGCTTTTAGGATACATGGTTTTATTAATTCACCACCGATAATATGAGGTTTCTTTTGCCCTGCTATCTTAGAAGCTATTTCAAATGAAGCTTTGAGATGCTGCGATACACCTGTGCGGTAACTTTCCGATTTATCCAGTCTCATCCGCTTGAGTGATTCGGCTTTAGATGAAAAAACTCTTTCGTCTTCAAAACCAGAATAGGATGTTGTTGCTTCAAATGCCTTTCAAGGCGATTGGGCCTCATGCTATCATTACTTGAAACCTTCATACATATCACACACTGAGGCAATTGTTTCTATGAAGGTAAATCCAAACTTAACGTAATCTTCGGAAAACTTTCTTTTTTTTGTTGCCATTTTGCACCTATAACAATAAAACAAATAAGTAATCAATAAATAAGCAAAATACCTACATGAAATTACTAATTATATGCCCATTATTTTATCTTGATAACGTAATGTATTCAACAGTATATTGGCCACCGGGAGATTTATATTTTTGTAGACAGGTTGACTTTATAATAGTAATTTTAAATACATTTGGAATCAATATTAGGTACCTAAAGTTCATCGTTTCAAAATTATTTCGCCACGTTGGCTTGATTGTGATGTGGTAAAAAAGTCCCAATGGCCGATCTATGAACGCATGTCCACTCAATCAACAATTTAGTAAATTAAATAAAAATTAAATAACTGAAGTTTGTAAATACACAAACTTATCTTTTAACAGTGAGACACAATAATTTGACATACTCAAACAGATTTCTCAACAAAACATGCACATCGAAACGTCAAATTTTTGGCAAGTTTGTGGGAATGAATGTCACAGATGCTCATCCGCGTCTGGTAGGTATACAATTGTTTTCTAAGTGGTGAATGTTGAGCGGAGCACGGCAGGGTTGCGCGCGGATTTCATGTGACTTGCCGAAACTTGTATAAACTGCGATTGACGACGCCGGGTTTTGAAACAGCGGTTGACAGAATAAGTGAATATGATATTTAGTTCCTAATTTTATGCGTGTAAATTAAACATTACATTGTAATGTTATTTGTTAATGTTGTTTGCTTTTTTTTTGTTTTTCTAAAATGCAAACGCTTTCCACCCCCCCTGGCATCTCTCTACGCCCGCCTTGGGAGGCGCGCCCCTGTGGTTGGGAACTCCTGCACTACAACCTTCTTAATACCGAAACATCCGCGTAGGCAGAAGCCTAAATGCTGGGACCCCGCGGCTGCTGTGAGGAGCATCAAAACACGTTGCTAATTGGATTTTTGAATGCTCTAAGGCTGGTGGAACTAGGCAGATTGTTCCACAATCTCTATACCCTAGCGACAAAGGAGTGATCGTATCGCCTAGTTCTAGATGTACGTAAGTCTGTTTGGCATTCACATTGCACCACGGCACCATGGAGGAGCAAAGCCCGTTAACATAGCGGTAGAAGAGATCTAGATCGCCGGTCGCCCATCGGTGAGAAAGAATCGGTGGCAGCACTCCAAACATGTGAGCAATACTCGAGGCAAGGCCTTATCTGGACCTTGTACAGAGTGAAAATGTTATGTCGAAAAAAATACGTTTCTAAATTCATTTCTGTGTTCTGCGATTGCAACTACTTTTATATAGAAACATATACCATTTTATGTGCACTATATCCTTTTTAAGAACTAAATTACTCGGATGTCATCGGAAGCTCTCAATGTCTTGGTACTGCATTTATAAGGCTGAAACCATGCGGTAGGTCTCGAAATTTCTTAAGACAACAATTAGTTTCGCCGGAAGGAAAAGTGGTCGTAAAAAATCCAGTAGAACCCCTACTGCTCATGTGGCCCGAACACGTGTGTCGCTTCCTATGGGTAACGTAATACAATGGCGGTGTCGACAACATAAGGAACCATACGGACAACCATATGGTACCGATTCGAAAATGCAAGGGGGTTGGCAACTGTGTAAATTATAAACGTGTCTGGAGAGACCTAGTGCTAATGTGTGCGTTCAACATAAATACAGGGTGGTGCAGATCGAACTCACTATACCGGGAGTTACAAATTCGACCCTCATCATTGGCATATCGGAAACTGTAAGAGATACGAAGTCACTTGAATGGTAGCAAAGTTGCGTATTTAGGTAACTAACAAAATCCGGCTAGAAAGTGTCGAAATTCAAAGTACTTCCGGAGAGAAACAAAAATTTTCCCAAAATCATTTTAACTTTGTCCTGATTTTATTTGTAATGAAACTTCAAAATAAATTCCAGATTAACATTGCCACCTTTTATCCTCTACAAGATGGTAAATTAGAATTTCAATATGACATTTCATCTTTTGTTTTCCAGCATCAACTTTATTTTCATTATGGACGCTATATTGGATTTTCTTACAGGTTAATAGAGTCTTTAATTCTGATTTCAAAAATGAACTCATACATTGACATTGCCAAACCTTAGTTATTTCAAAAAAATCAGAATTTCCTAGGCAGGCCTTGAAATTACTAGATTTGTTTCGCATTCCAGATTTATCCCAAAGTCAATTTTATTTCATTTGCGATGATATCTCAAAATAAATTGCATGCTGTCATTATTACTTATTCTCCTATACAAGATGGTTTATTCCAATTTTCAATTCAACATTTTTTCTTTGGACTTCCATCACCAACTTTGTTTCTTCATATGGACGCTATATTTGAGTTTTGCACATTTAAATAGACTTGTCAGTCCTAAATTCTATAACGTATTTCCTTAATGCGCAATGAATTTGCTGTTGGATGAAAATCATAAGGAAATAAAAAAATATGGTGAATCCTGAACACATGAACATTTCATTGATGTTAATAACAATAATAATCATAAACAAGCAGAGGTAAATCATAGCAGATGTTCAAACTGTCTGTTATTTTGTAGGCAAAGCCTGACTCTTCTCTGTAGATTGTTCACTGCTCGATTCATTTCTATTCTTCTCCGTCTTCCAAACTCTGTTACTATGTACAATTTGAGGTCTGGTCTGGTATATGAAACAAATGAAATCTGATAATTTCAAGGCCTACCTAGGAAATTCTGTTTTTCTAGAATAACTAAGGATATGCAATGTCAATGTATGACATATAATACATTTTTGAAGTCAGAATTAAGAACTCTATTCATCTGCGCAAATATTCAATGTGGCGTCTATGAGAAAAAATGAAGTTGATGCTGGTTGTTAAGAGACGAAACGTCATTTTAGAATTCTAATTGTGCCATTTTGTAGAAGAAAATGTGAATGTGCATTTTATTTTGAAATCCCACTACAATTAAAGTAAGGAAAAAATTGAATCGATTTAAATCGGAAATTTTTTTTCTCTCTCTTCGGAAGTACTTTGAGTTTCAAAACTTTCTGAGCGGCATTTTGTTGATTACCTAAATACGCAACTCTGCCCCCAGTTAAGCGACTTCGTATCTCTTAAGCCTAGTACTCACTAGTAGACATGTCTCGCGATTTTGGTCTCAGAGACATGTCTAAAGTTGTCTCAGTATGTCTCGGTAGACATGTCTATAGACCAAATCTGGTCTACGGGGCGGTTGCGAAACTAAAAAAAGCAGGTCTCAAGTCTCCCGATTGAAATGGGAGACTTGATGCAACGTTGGGATACGTTGCGCAACAAGGTGATAGTGAGTACCTCGCGTCCATAGACGATACATTTCCCAGTACCCCTCTTGCTTTGTAAACAAGTGCATGCGGTCTCTGCTGTTTTTGTTTACCATGTGGTCAAACGACAAATGTTGTCCCCCAATCTTAATTTATTTACTAGTTCGGTACCGAACCTAGGTCCTTCTGCGAACACTTCGCGCGTTCACCAACGTTTACGTTTTCGCGCTTTTTTACTAAACAGGTACTCATTGCGCACAAAGCAAGGTCCGCCATGGTGGTTGGCGAAGATGAGACTAGAAAAATTCCCATCACAGTGTGGACGCTAGATGAGGCAAAGATCGGTGTTTCTACACCATGTCTATGTCTCAAGTCTAGACGGTCTCTAGACCACCTAAAGAAAATCGCGCAACGTGGTCTCCAAGTGAGTACTTACCTTTACAGTTTTCGAGATCTCATTAGTGAGTTTCGAATTTGAAACACCATGTGCACAATTCAGATGCGATAGTGACTGTCAGTCCCTTTAAACTTGGTGTCACCATTTGACAGCTATCCTACCAAGCTCCATGAACGGTCGCATGAATTGCTACCAGGAGATCCATTACAACACCTCCTACAGATATACAGATACTTTATCATTTACATATATATGTGCTTTCTGATAATAATTACATGTCATTATGTCATATTCCTTACTCGTGATGACCTCTTGAGGAAAATATCTCAGAAAGACATAACACATATGTTTTTATAACTTAATATATCTTTTTAAGTTATTGTTAGAATGTGTCACAGTTACAGCGACTGAACTTCTACCAAACTCGTCTTATCCAATTTTTGACAGGCTTTCAACACTGGTAGCACTCTATGCCTCTATGTCAATAAGGTACCTGGACAAATTTCAAGGGGTGGTTACCTGAGTTGTTCTAACAAAAAAATCCATTTGAACATGGTAAGGGATATCTTCTTTTCCAGGATGCCAAGGTATCAAGCTTTTTTTGAGAACACGTATTCTTCCAAAAAAAAAAAAACGTAATAAGTAACATTTTAGCCGATTTTCTTGGTATATACTGAAATTTAGACATATCGCCGAACTTTCAGACAATATGCTTTTGTCAATAAGACTCACAGCTGCACGGATTTAAATCTCGTTATCTGGATGGCAATGGTAATTCGCCACTTGAATATAGCGTTTTTCTTCATTGAACTTAGTTAAACTTTGAGCGATATATCGGTACGTGCCACACTATGTTCCATCAAATTTGAACAAAATTGGCTCAAGTATTATTGCATTTGAAAAAAAGATTTTTCAAAAAACGATTGACCGAAAAAATCTCAGAAAAAATGATCCCTTGACGTATGGTGAGTTTACTTTATTAACATCATCTGTAACAAATTTTTTTATATCTAAGATCAAATGAAGCTCCCAAAAAACCGTATACAAGTGGAATTAACCAGTACAATCTTTCCCTTGCTTCTAGGCACTCGAGGATATTGATTTGTGCCAAAGAAATAACGCACTACACATCCAAAACGACATATAACGAAAACGCAGTATTCATAATGACCCTTCT